TGGAAATTACAATACATGATTTCAGGATTATGATTCAAATTTGAGATTAAAATAACAATGAACCTTTTCTTGTGCTATGGATAAACTCCAAGGTTTTACCAGTTATATTTAATATAAACATTTATCAGATGAATATCATTCACAGCCAGTAGATTTAACATTTATACTTTGTTTATATTTATTGTAGGTTACTTAAACAGTGTATCTCAGAGAAATAAGAAAACATAGAGGCGAACATACGAATAACACGTGAAATGAAAAATAATAATAATAGCTCCCGTATATAGCGTTCAACGCCTTGGGAATAGCAAGGTACAGCTTGCCATACTAGAGTCGTTCGGTATACAAGGAAGGTAATGTGGCTAGCACTACGCTTCAACCGCCTATTATTACCTCAGGATTGTGAATCTCAAGTACTCATTTAAGGCTGAGTCGACCTAGGTACCCAAACTATTTTTATTTTAATAAAAATAGTCGGCTGATGAAATGCCGGGTGTGGGATTCGAACACTTGAGATTGGTAGACGGGAGCCTGTACCTCTACGCCACCGGACACCCGGAAAATGAAAAATATAATGCGAATTTTTAGGGAGAACCTAATAAACTTAATTTTCATATACCGGGTGGTGCATCGTTGCTGTAAACATAGGAAATCGTATTCAAATTTTTAACTGTCCAGATATTGGCTGCCCTGTTAATTTTACAGCGCGTCTCCACCAAAGGACAAAAGTGAGAGCAAGAAGCTCTCACCTCTGCTCCTGCAAGGAGAGAAAAAGCCAGGATGGAAAGCCGTTCAACACCGAGAGGAAAGCAGGGACATATCACCAGCTTTGCCAGAACATCGAGTTGGCGAGTCTTCAGCTCGAGGGAGGAGGGCCATGGTCAGATACTCACAATAGGAATTGACCTCAAATTAACCTCAAAGGAGACAATAGATAAGATAAAGATAGAGAGATATATCCTCTATTATAGATTTGGGACAACACCGGTATCAGGTATAAGGAGAGATCAAGTTATAGAGGTGACAAGGTTTACAGAGTGAGACAAGCTCCTGGACTGTAAAGGGTGCGGATGACCAAACCCTAACCGTCGAAGGGTGTATAAGAGAATTAAGGTTGATTCTCACTATACTTTCCGTTTCCCTTTCGTTTACATAAAATATTATATCATGTAAATGAATAGGATAATGTACACTATCCGTTCCGTTTCCCTTCCGTTCCATGGCCCGTATTCTGTAACTTTGACATAAAAACGTTACGCTTTCAAAGTGGTGAGCGCAAGTATTCGATCAGCGAAACGCAAGGCAGTCGATTTTGGTTTTCTCGTTGCCACGCGAATCGTGTTCTGGATACGCGTTGAGCACATACTGGCAACATCACAATTGCTAATGTAGCTAATAGTCAAAGTTGATAACTGACGGATGTAACAATGAAAAATGTCAACGTTACGTGAATTTCATAACCTATTGTTAAGTTATGTCAAGCTATTTTTCTATGGATATGTCATTATTCTTATTGTAAGAGGGAAGTGTTGAAGACGCTTCTCAGCATTTTCGATGTTTTGAACAATATTTATAGCTGCCAAGTCGTTAATTATCAATTACTTATTGAGGAATTTATAGAAGAAGTAGTAATTTTCACTAAAGAGCAAGATAACGCACAAAATCACAATTTTTTCGATTTTCACTGTCAGTTCGACAAGCAAAACGATCCTTTAAGGCAACCGTTTTCAAAGCGCTCAGCGCAATCAGTAAAGACGCGTCAGACGAGAATACCGAAATCGTTAATTAAGTGCGCGCTCAGCGAAAATTAACGTCATATACGCTGAGCATCTAAAAGCGCTTAGCCGTTTTCAAAGTTACAGAATACGGGCCCTATCCTTTCCTTCTATACATTTTTTTGACGGAAGGACTGAAGCGTATTAGAAACAGGGTTGTCAAGTTCTTATGGTGCGTTTAGACTTGAGCACGCACGCACTGATCCTTCGCGAATCCTCAAGTGTAAACGGCTGTGCGCGCACGCTCACTCTGGATCTGTCGGGGCGCGAGCAGTCGCGAACGTGAGCCGTCTGGTGTCGGTTTTTGGTACGTGCTGAAATGGATTTTATGTGTGCGCGAACGCTCAGTTTGCACAGGCAATTTGTTTTGTCTGCGTTCGTGCGTGCGTGTGTGATTTTTTTTTTCGATTTCTTTATTAAAATTATGGAGTGAATCAATGAATCTTCGTTATTATTAATTGAAGAATGTGAAAAGTTACCTATATTATGGGATGTTTTTTTAAAAAAAAATAACGCTAAATATGTCCATATTAATGAAATTGCTATTATAAAAATGTGTATCTTTCGTTTGGAATTTTTGGTGTTATTAAATTTTGTAAATATTCAAAGTCGGCCTGGTCATTCTTGTAAAGTTTTTGAACTGATCATAGCCCTCCTCAGACACTAAGTTGTTGCAGTAAATTATATCGATTTCTAAAAATTTGGGTTTGCCACCAGCGATGTTGTTTTCGATTTTTCTTTTTAATAATTAAGCTGTGCATAACAATGACTGCAGCCCCGACTATTTCTTGGTCGTCCATTATTTTCGCCAATACAACTTTGCTGTGCGCGCACAAGTGGATCACTTCATTCGTCGAAAAATAAGTTTTTAATTTGAACGGAGCCGAGAGCGCGAACGAATGCCGTGCACGCACGCTCAGCTCGTGCAGTGGCGCATCCAGAGATTAAGTCTGGGAGTGGTAGTGGCAATATCTAAATAAAATAATTTAAATTAAATTTTCGCTCAAAGGTATTGTAACTATACGGAAAAAAATAAACTTAGATTGTGTTCTGGATTTCTATTTTGATTGACATTATTAATATATTTTGTGACAATTTTATTTTAAACCAAATTTTCTTATTTATAAGTTTTTTCCTGGGAGGGGTAATTACCCCCATTACCCCTCCCGTATAAGCGCCCGTGTGCTCGTGGGTGCTCAAATCGTGCTCAAATCTAAAAAAAAAAAATCTAAAAAAAAATGGTACTGCACCATTACATTTGTACCAGCTCTGTGAACATTTTGCTGCTTTTTATTTATTCTTTCACTTCTTAATTAAATCAATTACCTTTTTCAAAAGATACAAATTTTCAAAATATAACCTTCGTAATGATAAAAATTGTAAAATAAAAAGTATGGGACTGATACGAAACGAAAGCATACGTATAGCGTGAATACAGTCAAAAATTCGGAACGGATATGGAATGGAAACGGAAAATATAGTGAGAATCAACCGTTATGTGGACATCAAGCTCTTGCGCTCTCGTAAGAGGTTGATGTCTACCCCTCGGAGGAAGAACATCAAATCTGTTGTCAGGGGAGGATGGGAAATACTCCTGGGAATGAGTTATAAACTCTATGATGAGTTATAACTCAAGAAAGGGGGACACAATAGATCTTTAAAGTCGCGGTGATTAATCCCCCTCCCACTCATTCTACATTCTACTTTCTAACTCCTGAAAATCATTAACAAGGTACTATAAAACTCAAAGCTGGTTTAAAAGTTAGATATCGCGTATAAACTTATATGAAAAAAATATGAATACAAATTTTAAGTAGTTAAATTTGAAATACCCAGTATATTGTGAAATTGTGTTAAAGTATTTTTTTTTTCTGAGACATCAAGTAATTTTCAAGAATGACTTGTCTCAAGAATGACTATGTTTTCTTATTTCTATGATCAAAGTATCTGTTGTATGCAAAATAAGGAATAAAACAGTATTAGAAACAAATGTATATTTATATTTAAAAACCAATATCTAAGTATATAATATTTATTTATATTTGATACCAATTAAACTTTTAGTTACGTAATCGAGGGCGCGATTTTTAAATTCATAATTGCCAACCATGGACAAATTCGGCGCCGGGCTGACTAACTGGAATTTAAATTTCGCGCTGGGGATTCAGATGGTAGCTTTGCTGTAAAAAATGTCAAGTTGCCACATTTATTTATTTATTTTCTGACATTGTCATTGGTTTTGACACTTTAGTTTTGTATTACGAGTTTTTGGTTTAAAAGAACTGTGTTGTGACATTTTAAGCTTAAACATTTTTACCAGCAGAACTTACAGTCGAATATTGTTCTTTTTAGAACCTCTTTTAGCGCGAAGTGGTACAAGATAGCTTAATAGCCGTAAAAAACTCATCGCAACTTTATTAGAATATTTTGAATGGGAAAGTGGTAGTAAAGGCCCTTTATGTCTGTTAAATTCTGTTAAGGAGGTGAGTTATGTTGATGTAAATAATAACTGTTTATATATTTATAATTAATTTATTTTTGTTTCCTAAAATATTTTGATTAAAAGAAAACATGTAAATGAGGACAACGCTGTGCCGATCAAGCTTAATCACGTAACTAAAAGTTTATTTGATATGAACTATAAATATAAATGTGTACTTGAATGGGGAAAGTGCTATTAAGTATCTAAACTTAATAAACCAATAACACCCCCCCCCCCCATACTCCGAAAAATTTAGTCTGCAGACTTGGTCTGAGGATAAAAACTTTCTGCTTCTTTGGCGGATCAAGTCTGTGGTAGGCCAAGCCTTTGACGAAACAAATCTGTCACAGGCCAAATCCGCAGACTTGATCTGTCAGGTTAGATTGGTCTAAAAAACGAGCAAAGGATTACAACCTTAGTCTTTGTCAATGTCCAGTTCAATGATATTTTACTCAATATTTTTTATAACCAGGTATTACAATTAATTTGCATTGTCTAATTGTAATCATTATTAGTCAACACAGCAAAACGAGATTCTTTTTATTAAGGATTAACCTTGCTTTATTCTTAGCACAAGAAAAGATCCGTATAGAACAAAGAATAGTCCTAGACTAGTTAAAAATGAAGAGTGAAGGATAAGCTGTAGATATTTACAATAAACTTGACTTTAAATACTCTAGAAATATATACATTGTGCGAGAAAAACGGCCGTCAAAGCCAATAATAAAACTATTACTTATCGGTCAGATAGTCCAGACTTGGACTTTTTCGGCGACGATACACCAGCTGGCGTGCTCGTAGGTCGAAGAGACTATGTGCAGATTGTCGACGTATTTGTCGATCAGTTGATCTAATTCACCTTCGCGGAATACGTGGTAGTACCTGAAAATAACAACATACATTACATAGGAAGTACAGGTGGGCAAAACCGTTATTTTTAAATAACAGTTGAAACTGTTACTGTTATTTATATATAACAGGTTTCTGTTATTTTTTGACTTTAATGTTAAACACCTAAAATATCATACGCATTGTCCAAATTGTTAAGCATAAAAATGCTTAACTTTCCGAAACGTTAAGCATTTTTTTTTCTTTGTTAGGCAAATTTATATTACTGTAAACATAACTTATGACAAGCAGCGTCCGTTTAGGTTTAACGCAGAAGTGTTTACAAAAAATAATTATTTTATTTTGTAGATTTTCTTGCAGTGCAGTAGCGAAATACACATAAAGGATTTTTTTGGAAAGATGAATCCGCCACATAGGTATAGACATTTTTTATTTAAGTAGTTGAAAAGCACTTAATATTTCTAATCACCAAAGTTCTAATTCATTTAATACATACATTTCTAATGATCATTCACTATTTCTTGATATCATTATTGGTGACAGGCAATAAAATTGTCTTTGACAAGTTTTTTAAAACGTAGCAAAAACAATGAAAGTACATATTTAAAAATATTAATAAAAATAACTCGAATTAACTTGAAGTAACTGAAATATAATAACTAAGTTCTGAAACCTCGATTACAAAACAAAAACTTTAAAATGTAAATAAATACATATATAAAAATAAATTTGCAGAAAGCAAAATAGTAAATTAAACTTGCTCAAAACAATTCTAATTGTTATTATTTCTAATTGTAAATTAGAATAGCTTAATCAAGACAATTTTCTTTAATTCAGTTATAATTAATATTTATTTTTATTTACCATGCATTATTAATGCCAATCCGATAAAATAAAACCACTTTCAAACTATTTTACGCCAAAAAAATGCATTAATATAAAAATTAAATAATTGAATTCTAACGCCACCGTACACCGCGATTGATCCACACAGGCGAAAAAGCTATTATTTTCCAACTCGGCTTATCTCGACCACCACCCGTTATGCTCGTAACAGGTTAAAAATCAATGTATCTAAAACAACTGCTTATTTTCTATACGTTATGGGGGCCCATCTGTTGCGGGCCCAGCATCGACAATCGACCAATGCAGCAGCGTTACTTTCCCACTCCGGTTTTAAAAAAGCTGCTTATTTTATATACTGTTATTTTTAAGCTGTTGCAAGACCATGGACCGATGCAGCAACGTTCGCCGTGCATTCCCCACTCCGTTGTATCTCGACTGTCGGCGCGTCGCCCGTTATCGATGGTTGGCGAAATAACAGATTTTTCATACTAGTTGTTTTTTGGAATTGCTTCGAGCCGCATAGGATTTCGTGGCGATGCAGAGCGCCGACTTCGTTTCACGAACGGTCGATCTCTACGTATCGTTATTTTATATCTGTTATTTTTTAGAAGTAGCAACGGTTGCGTTATGTTATTTCCAAATAACTGCTGTAAAATAACAGATAGTTAAATAACAACCCATCTCTAATAGGAAGATTATAGATCTATTGTGTCCCTCTTTCTTGAGTTATAACTTATCATGCAGTCTTAGGAAGAGCGCCCACGCCAAAGTGACGTAGCATATGACGTTGCACATACATGGCAATGATATGGCAATAGCGTTGCATGATTTTTCAGGAAGCGCACATATAAGTGACGTGGCGTAAACATGTCGCCCTCAGAGGATGAAGATTTGTTAGCAGTTGTAAACCTAATCAATATGAACTAAAATTATCCAAAGCGTTGCTATTGGAAACACCCCTTTTGGAAAAAGAGTCAAAGGAATAGTGGATTTAGTATTTTTAAGGAATTGAATATGATCCAAAAAGATTTCAGGCATTTTATAGAATGAAAAAAGAAACCTTTGAAGTAATAGTTAGAAAAGCCTCAATCAATGATACAAAACGTATATTGAAGTCCTAATCGTCCTGCATTTTTACTAAATTCGAGTAACGTGTTAATAGCACGTGGCGAAAAGTACAACCATGTTCTGAAAAACTTTTTCGAGTGTCTTATACCGTTGGAGGATTGCCATTCCAGATTATGGAGTCTATACCAAGTTCTTGAGTTCTTTAAGTCAGTTTCCGCTTGGAAAGCTGAACTGTTCTGGTCCAGTTAGTGGAGTGTTCGCTCCTTTTCTAGTTAGATCGTTGTGGTATGATCGTTTAACTGCTGAGCAAACGTTTCTCGCTTCTAAATCTTTTTGTTGTTCAATACTAGAGAAGTGTCTCAAAGTTGTACATTCTTGGTATTCCATCCACTGTGAGTTGGAGGAGCGGAATTTTCCTTTGGTGGGTGTTCCAAGCTCCTGAGCTGAGAATTCTCCCAGTAGTTCCGTCAATGACCAGTCAAATTATTGTCGTATTGGCATGTCTACCAATGACAATGTGCAGTGGTGTCTAGAGACTGACCTCGCCAAAATTATCATCGATCGTCATTCTCCAGCCGGCTTTGACGCCTTTTTTTCGATCGTATGGTTATAGATTCTCTTGCCAAAATATACAAAGAAGCCAAAGAAAGGGTAATAATATATAAAACAACCCCAGAGTTCCCAACTGGCAACGGAGTGCGACAGGGAGAAGCGATATCTACCAAACTGTTTACAGCAATAATAGAAGAAATCTCCCGTCATCTAGACTAGACCACAGATTATACAGATTATAAACTTTGTTTTTTCTTTATTGTTTTTCGTGGTTCCAATTTTCGGAATCGGGCACTAGTTAGGTTACTAGTTTGCGCACATAACACGCCCACTTATGGCCTCTAAAATTGTGCACAGCGCCTGACCGGCACAGTTATTAGAGAGATATCGGAAAACCGAATAGCGTCATGCAGTATTTACGCGTACCTTATCATGGTTACGATATGCGCGAGTCAATTTTTAACGCAATACCCGCTAATAACGTTACCGCCTGATGTAATTTGCGGATCAATTACACCAAGCGCTATTTCTAAATAACGTTTAAAAATTGCTTAAATGGGCATGTGCGGGTATTTGACAACCAGACATTTTAGGTTATGTTTGAATTGTTTTGAATTATTACTTTAGTTTTATTAGGTAATTTGATATTTAAGTAGCTGGGATTAGTTTTAATTAAATAAATATGGCCCAAAATATGGATTCTATCTCTTCCAATATTAAAGAACCTATAAAGAGGTTTAGGTTTACAGCAGATGACGACTTAGCCCTTCACTGGCAGACGTTGAACAATAAAGCACTGGAAATAAGCACTTTAGCCCTTTAGTTTTAAAATACCTAGTAAACAAAACAATTTCAAAATATTAAATTCAAAGTTAGGTTAAGTTTAAATAGCGGACGCGACGCGAACAGAATCTATCCGATCCCATAACTATAAATAAAGAGAGTTAATACCACCTCACGTAAAGGAAATAACACACCTGGCCTTATTAACGTCCATGCACGCTATTCGGTTTAGCGATATCTCTATATTACGCTGTTTATTGTTATTTGACGCGAGTTTATTTTTGCGCACAGGAAATTTTACTCGTTTGCACATTGTCATAAAAAACAATTTTCGTACCACGAATTAGAGACAAGATTTTCCCTGGACTACAAAAATTACAGCATGGTACCCACGAGGAATTAAGAGACCTAGTGGAAGACCAAACCTTGAGATGGAACCCTGATGTTAGGAAATTAGCAGGGATAACTTGGGCCCGCGTAGTCAACAATAGATAACAATGGGTCCAACTACAAAGAGAGTATCTAAATATGTGAAGAACGCTACACCATAATTGGAAATGGTTGAGTAAGCTGAATATGATGATGATGGTAGTATATTCAATGTATGTTGCTCTATACTCACCTATGATAAGTAATTTCTCCTCCTATTTCGTCGGAAGGTAGAGAATCCTGCGAAATGTCACTCAGTCCCGACGGATCCCTCTTTTTCAAATGACCCGGCGTCAAGGAATCCATCACTTCCAGTCGGTTCTTGGTCTTCGTCTCGAAGGAGATGAGCGAGGCAGTGCTTCCCGCATCGCTAACGCTATCTTTAGAGTCTACTGATAAATCGCCCACGGATGAAGCTATCGATGGCCCGCCAAAGTTGATCGAAGTTGCGCCGCTGGAGATTACCGAATTACTACTGCTCCCTGAAACTGAAAAAAACCCTGTAATTTTTTTAAATCAATTATCTAAAATTTTGGTATGCATTTAGTAGTTTAGTACTAGAAGTTGAACACTACTACGTTTTACTAGAAATAAAAATTGATATTTAATTTTTAAAAAGAAAAAACACAAAAATAATTCGGATAAGGCGGGTTTTGTTGCAGTATTATACATAATGGCTATGAAATGAAGAACGCCGTCATTTTATATCTAAATTTACATGGGAAATGCCATCGATCGTCATTTCCTCGTCAACTGGATGCCGTTTTTTTTCGATTATACGGTATTTGCTTCCTAACTTGATTTATTAAATATACTATTTTATTAAAATTAAGTAAAGATGGCGTAGAGCGTCTAGCACTCTCGCCATAGTAGAACGTTTTGTACTCAAATGCTATTCTCTGCTTTTCGTTGGTCAGATTGAGGGTTACAGCAAAGTCGGCCTGACGATGGAGAAAAATCTCCGAAACCGGTCGTCGAATGGCTGTTCCCTTCGGTCTGATGAACTTAATGCAGAGAATAAGCATATATGTAGGGTTTTTCCCCTTTTTCCGCTACTAGTATTTTGTTTATTTTTATATACCCTACCTAAGCCTTGTTAGCTCCATCTGCGGTAACATGGATGAAGCAAGCATTAAGTACAGATGTGAAAAGACGTCAGTAGTAATATTATACTTGTATAAAAGCTTATGAAAAAATGCGGGATTTGTAACAATAATGGCAATAAAAAGCAAATATAAGTGGATAAGACGGATTTTGCTGCAGTAACGTAATTTGTAGTGAATTTGGAATTATGTTTATGTAGATTTTAAGGTCCACTATTAATATATGTCATTAAGCCATTTTTTTTAATAGATAAGGCGAGTTTTGCAACTTGACGTCTCAAATAATAATTTAGATAAAAATAAACAATATCTAGTTGTTTTTATGGACCTAAAAAGGCTTTCGACACTGTTTCGCATTAAGTACCTGAAACGATCAAATACTATTAGATCGTTTAGAACAAGTTGGAATTCGAAGAAGTTTATTAAAATTGTTTTCCTATACACTCACCGGCACGAAAAACGGACACCTTAAAATTTTCATGTATTTTAAAGTTTAATATATTTTGTTCTAGTGGACCAATTTTGATGACTTTTTAAGCAATTTGTAATGAATTCTTTGAGCTTTTAATGCCTCTTTCTAAATTAAAAATGTAACTTGCCATTAGATCTGTCAATTATACGAGGGAAAACAAAATGTTGATATTTTGGTGAAAATTCGAAACACCCTGTGAAGTACTTTAACAAAGCAAGGAATTTAAAAATAATTTTATGATCTAGGTTTATCTTGTTTTGATTGTTTTTTTATTCATCTCAATAGCTTTATTTTTTTTGGAATATTCGCTTTTGAAGAAGACATGATTTTTTCGTATTTTTTTACATTAAAACCATGTATTTGCTTTTAGTCCTAGTCAACAGATCTGTAAAATAGTGTTGATCATTTTTGTAATACCACTGTCTTTGAAAAATCTTATTATTATTATCTGTTGGGCAGTTACTCTAGCAGATATGGTTTTAAGTCCAAAAGTTGATCTCTACCATAATCAATTAAAGCAGCAACAGCCGATACTTCTGAACTAAAAACCATCTCTACTAGAGTAAACGTTAGTAAACAATAATAATATGATTTTTCAATGATAGTGCTTACAAAAACAATAAACTCTATTTTAAGTGTTTTGATGAGGATTTAAAATCAATGCAAAAATAGCTATAAATAAATGCTGTAAAAATAATAAAAAAAATAAAGCTATTCAGATAAATCAAAAAACAAACTATCGAGAAAAGACGTACCTACAGGATAAAATTATTTTTAAATTCTTTGCTTTGTTAACATTTTCCACGGGGTGTTTCACCAAAATATTAACATTTTGTTTTCCCTCGTATAATTGACAGATGAAAACTCATTTTCAATTTCGAAAAATGAAAGTTACTAAAAGAAAGTCAAATAATATAGCTACAAATTGCTTAAAAACTATCAAAATGGGCCCACTAGAACAAAATATATTAAACTTTAAAATACATAAAAATTGTTAAGGTGCCCGTTTTTTGTGCCGATCAAACTTTGGTAACGTAACTTTGGTAAATAACGTCAAGAGTCATGGAGGAAAGTAAAATTTGCTTTTATTAAAATAGGAATAACTCTGATTTGGGTTGGAATGGTAAATTAATTAGACAAACTTGGCGATAGACAGAAAAACTGTTTAAGAGCTTTTCATTCTTTATTCTTAATAATCTGCAGTATAAGCTTTTTTAAAGAAGTAAATAACATCTAGAGATTGACCTCGTCAACATTATCATAGACTGTCATTCCCCAGTCGTTTTTGAGGCCTTTTTATTCCACATACAGTCGAGGCACAAAAAGTTTTACTCCGAATAGAACATGCTATTTTTTTCAAACGCGACAAATAAGTTTTTAAACAATTTCAAAAGGTCCAAATAATATAAAAAAATTTAAAAGTCATACCAGAGGTAATACCTTGCAAATAATTATATATCGAAAAACTATGGTTACGCTCGTAGAATTTGACACTCTATGTCAGTTTAATCAGAGGTCTAATAATATATTTTCGTACTTTAATGTTTAGGCGTAAAAATGCTTTATTCTTATGCCTAGGCGTTAAAATGACTTTTTTGTACTGTCAATCACGTCGCAAAAACTAATACTTTTGTGACTTTTGAAAAAAAATTGGCGCCGCGAGTCACGTATAGCCGCCCATACTAAAATATGTTAATATCTCGAAAACTGCGACTTTGACTGATTTTGATGTTATTACAAATTTTGTTGCAAATATTATTCCTAATCTTAATTTGAAAACCGCGTTTCGCTAGCTACTGTAATTTTGGAGTTACGATTTTTTAAAATTTTTAACCCCCCTCCCACCTCCACCAAAAATTAATGGCCAGATTATCGGGTGCCACAGTATTTTTGTGCCAAATTTGGTTAAAATCGGTTCGGCGATTTTTGAGTTATCGTGTTACAGACGGACAGAGGGACAGACAGACAGACACCATGAAAATATTTTTATTTAGGTCATTTATGACACAAATAACTCATTTTGAGTGAAATTAAAAAACCTTTTTTTACCGATCCTAATAGCCTACCATTCCTATTATGGTCGGCTAAAAAATATTTATTTCAATGCTATGGAAAGGTCGATAATAGTTATCGGAAAAAATGTAATACTTTAACAATAAAATATGACGTTAATGGAAATTAATAATAACCATCTCTCAAAGAATGAAATGCTATTACCATATAGATGCCTTTTAATTATTAGGTCTTTCGATTTTTTTCGGAATTCAACCATATTTTCGTGTTTTTATTATTTCCTTTAAAACGGTATGAACATTTTGAAAAATCTAAACGGGATTAACCATTTTATAATAAACAAACATTTTTATGAAATCAATGTCAATAATAAAAGAGTTTTTCCTGTTGTGAATGGCAATCCATCACACAGTGCTTCGAACATATGGCTCTAGAGGACATAAATGCAAAACTTCTCTTTTATTGTAGGCAATTTATTCAAACTAGGTTTATTTGACACAAATGATGAGTACTCTCATTGTACTAAATGATGATGTTCTTAGTCCCACGTTTATGAAAAAAAATCTTATAAATAATAAAAATATGGGAGCTGTGTTCCATCTAAGGAAATAATAATTTATAGTATGAAAACGGTGTAAGTATTAAATAAATCCCTGTGATAAAAAAGAATTGGAATAACATTAGAACATGATTCCTACAATATAAGCCAATATAAGATAAAAATCTTTTTCTTTAATGAAAAAGAAACATTAATGCTATATTTAATTAAAAAAAAACTTAAGATACTATAAATTTACTTTAGGACAACAAAATGCATAGATCGTAACTACTCTGATTCAGAAGAATCATTGCTGACAGAATCTTCCAAATTTATAGTATCCAAATCACAGGTAGATGAAATATCCTCACATATAAGATATTTCTGTACATCATTTTCTAATATGTTACTTTTTCGCCTTGTTACTGTTCTTTTTGTTGATATGAGGGGTTCGGATGTTAATAGTTACCTCTTTAATAGACCATATCAATATATTATTTTTTCGTTTTCTTGGGTATGAGGTTTTATAATAAATTGAAAGATGGAAACTTTTTTTATGCTATGTTTCGCTCCAACATAGTGAGCTTTTTGAGGCACAAGTGGTGTCTCATTTGACTGGAAGGTTCATCAATATCTAATAAAGAACACATTTTTTGAAATACAAATAATTTTGAGTTCTTGTCCTTATGATCAAGCCAAGTATTAACCAGATCGGCATTGCTTATCAATTTTACTCCATCTGAAAAGTATTATAAAATAAAGTTCGTCGCAAGCAGACGCAGGTGAACTATACAAAAATTAAAAGTGTATGAATATGACAACAAAAATATTCAATAAATACGATGTTTTGATATGTTTTTTTAAATGCCTTTTTGAAGTTTGAAAACGTGAAATTTTTATACCCATTTAAGAATCATCTTAAAAAATAAATAAAAACTAAACAATCACGAACTTGTTTAGAAATAAATTTAAAGTACATACCTTGTTTAACAATATCCATAGTGGCTTTCAATTAAGTACGTACTAACTCGTTTACGTTTAACTCCATATACAGAACTACTATGAATGTTATTCTTTTCATTGATATAAGATAATGATCGCAAAATTTATTTTTAGTGAAAATATTTGCTAACAAAAAAACGCTGTTTATAAAAAATAATATACAGGATGGTTGAACATTGCTATAAGTATAAAATTACATATTCAGATATTAGTAAATTTTAACTTTTTTTTCGATTTTTGTCCATGGGACGAAGCACTGTGCATCAGTTCAGAATACCTGTACGGGACAACACATAAATAAGTTAACTCACCTTTTTCGGAGGAATCACAGGAATCGGTTGAATTTCCTTTCGCTATCAACGGTCTCCGATCTCCTAAATCTCTCCCAGATTCTATCAACTCTACCTCTTCCTCTAACATCATCCCATCTCGCTTCCTCTCACTTTGGTCTCCTTCCGCGCTACCATTGACAAAACAGTCCGCTCGACGTCCGTGATTGGCTAGAACATTTGTGGTAAGTTTAACGGTATTTACACTAATCACATTTTCCGATCTATGTACAGAATTGGCCGTGGAATTTTTGCTATAACTAGTTAAAGCCGAACTTATGATAGTGTTTTGTGTTGTCAGGTTCTCTTGGCTAGTATTTTGGCTGCTTGTCGTGTTGTTGGGTTCACTTTTTACTTTGCCATGCTTATTTCGGCTGGAGAAAAGCTTGCAACGACATTCGGGGTACTTTCTGCATCTCGTACACGTCTTGGATTTAATCTTTTGCGCGTAGGTGGTGGTACTTTGCGACAGGCGCGTCAGGTATTCGTTTTGCTTTTTGATTTCCGCGCTTAGTTTGGACAAGTCGTGGAGTTCTTCGCTAAGCCGATGGATGTATGGGTCATCTATGTTGTCCATCTAAAAGAAAAAGCAAAGGAAATGTTAATCGTATACACACAAATTATGAATATAAAATTAGTGCTTTAAAAAAACTAGTATTGTTGAGTGAAATATGTCTTAGGTCGCACCTTTGAATACAAAGACTAAGAAAATTATAAGAGAAAAAATCTAATATGACTTATACCGTGTGCGTCTTAAAAGTGGTTAACCTTATAACATTTTTGTTTTTCGAGATAAAAAACGAAATTTGGTATTTTAGTAAATAACATAAATTAGGATTTATTGACGTATGTAATTGTTTTCAGTGACTTCCTGTTTCACCGGATATGACTACAATTTTTCATTTTTAATTGGCACTCTCGGTATTTTTTTATTTTATTCAATAGAAAATGATACTCTAAATAGAATATCATACGACAGGCCAACTTGACATTTGCGCTTTAAAAAAACCGTATTTTAAATTTCAATCTAGAGCGCCATATCTGTGTTAAAAATGCTATTTTAACTAATCAAGGAGCTTTGGAAAAATAGATTTGATCCTCTACTGTTTTTCGTATCTTGTCCTGGCCGGTTAAAAGATGCCCAAATCGTATTTTTAATCATATCTTTTTTTTTCAAATGGAACGAAACATTAGCATATTTGGAAAAAGCATTTTTTACGAATAATTTAGTACGACACACTTGGTACTTCGAGTGAAATTATCGTTATGAACCGAATGTTACAATTTTAAATAAACCATATAAGAAAATGTCAAAAGTTGTTATTCAGTTGATATGTCACTCTATTCAGTGCGTCATTTTCTATCGAATAAAATAAAAAAATACGAGTGCCATTTAAGAATCAAAAATTGTAGTCATTTCCGGTAAAAAAACGAAGTGGCCATAAACAATTTAATACGTCAATCAATCCTAATTTATGTCATACACTAACATACCAAATCTCGTTTTTTTATGTGAAAATATAAAAAAAATATACAATTTTAAAGCTAGCGGTTGTAATGAAGTTCATAAAAATTTCTGCACTTATTCCTGGGAGACCCTGTATATTGTGTTAATTAATATTATACTAGAATAAAAGAGACTTTATTATTTTAATAATGACAGTCAATGTATTTTATTGTTAATTATTAAATCATTATTGTAATGAACTTCATTAGTGTTCCGATTGTTAAATTAAATAAGTTAAATATTTAATTGCCATATTGTAAGAGAGTTGTGATCGGTTTTGGTCGCTATAGTTTAATGCGAGAACACGAACCGTTCGCGCCGCTCGCCCTACTCTGCTAGTGCAGGCTGGAGGGGAGCACCAGTCGAGTACCTTGGCTGCAGCAGTTCAAAACGACAGTTTTGTGGTCGCACGCGAAGCAGTGAATAGTGAGTTCGAGTCCGGAGTGCCCCGCCGAGTAACCAGCTGCCAGCCGCCGATCGCCGCCGTACTGTGCAAGGTAAGCACCAGCCGCCGAAGTGATCGAGGGTAGGTCGTATTCTTTTTATTGTTATTAGCGTTTACTCTACTACCTGAGCGCGATATAGGGATAAAGGCAACAATTGCCGACCAGGCGAAAGAGGGAATACGCTGTGCTAGGGCAGGTCGCCGGGAATCGTGGCCCTTAGAGGTGCTGTCTGACATCTGCTCAAGTACAACGTATCCTTCGGTTGCTGAGACGAGAGTCCTTATTTTCTTTATTGACATTAAAAAAACGCAGGAGAACAACCATTGCCGAGTGGGCAAAGTCGGGAATACGCTGTGCTAGGGTAGGTCGCCAGGAATCGTGACCCTTAGAGGGGTTCTGTCTGACATCTGCTCAGGTACGACGTATCCTTCGGTTGCGGAGACGAGAGTCCTTAGTTTCTTTATTGACATTAAAATTACCAGGGTTGCCGACCAGGCAAAAGAGGGACTACGCGGTGCTAGGGTATGTCGTCGGGAATCGTGGCCCTTAAAGGTTATTTCTAACATCTGCTCCGGTAAAAAGTACCTCTCGGGAAGAGCTAGTTAAGGGTTAATGATTAATTGTTTTCTTAAGGGACAGCCAGGGTAGTTCAGTAAACGCACGGGTCGCGAATATTTATGGTGCTTTAACAGGATCTCGCCCAACTCCCTAGGCTGGTTCTGTCGCGCCTGCTTTTCTCTAGGTGTGTCGTCCGGACGGCACCCTGCAACAGTGACGCTGGACGGGATCTCGCCTGAATCCCGAGGCTGTCCTGACCGGGCGATGTGTGTGCGTGCTGCGCTAATGCGATCGGTGTATAACTCGCCGAGGCGTCGCTAACTTCGACGCGGATCCGGGACCCGCGTCCGTGTCCAACGACGCGTCGCTAACTTCGACGTCGATCCAGGACTCGCGTCTGTGTGCCACGGGACGCTGTTAACTTCGAGATCGATCCGGGACTCGCATCCGTGTCCAACTGGACGCTTTTAACTCCGACGCCGATTCGTTGCTGTAACCATCGGGACGCCTGTAATGACGTCGCCGCCGTTTAGAGAGTCGCGTCGCTGTAGAGTATGTTGCTCCAGTACCTACGTGTGTTGTGTTCAATAGGACGCCGCTAACTTCTACGCCGATCTGGAACTCGCGTCGTCGTGTCTAACGGGATGCTGTTAACATCGCCGCCGATCCGGGAACCGCGTCTCTGTGTATAACGGAACGTCACTTCGGGAACGCGTCTCGTGTTCGAGTGATAGAGTCAGTCAGAGAGTTGCGTATTGGGAATAATCGATCAGAACTCTAGAGGTACACGGTGGTTATTGTAAATTTTGCTTTACGAGATTCTAAACATTCATTTTATTTTACTATTGTTACAATTCGAGAACGTAAACTTTCTTTGATTACTTTTGTACATAATTAATTGGTTAAATAAAAGCCTAGTGTTGCGTTATAGTTAATTGTGTGTTTTATTTTCTTTTTATCTCATCACTCCCTGGTATCTCCACTGTATAAAAGCTATCCGTACTGGCACTAGCGGTCTCTCAAACACTATAAACTTTGAGGGTGGTGCCCGAGTACCGAACCAAGGCAACTCGGCGTCTGTAAGCGTTCTCAAAAGGAAGGGAACCTCACACGGTTTTATATTAACTCTAATTTTTTTGGAAGTATTTTTTATAAAAGCATTCATAAAAAAATATATATCCTTCAAATACTTAACTTTAATAGCTGGTAGTAATAAGTTTCACTTCAAATATGCACACATATGCTGTCCTCCATTCGCGAACTTCGAGTTCCGGGCTTTACGCCCTGGGGCTACTCGAGAACGGTTCTGAAAGGAGCTGTGCGCGATAGCCTAATGCCTCCATATGGCGCGGAACAGTTCTGGAACTTTATGACTCAATTGAATGGAGTGAGAGTATCGCGTTCTTGAACAGTTCAAAGCTGCACAACTGCGTGAATGGAGGACAGTAATAATGCACACACAATTTTTTTTATTTAAAGTACTAACTCGGGTTATTTTTATTTTTATTTGAAAACGGTAAAGATAAAATATGTTTGTTTTATCGAAATCTACCGGCCCAAAAAAATTTGCACACGTTTAAAACTTAACTTTGTATAACTATTTCAGTCAAGGATAGTATCTCTCAAATTAAAATAAAAATGCAAAGAAAGAATTCGGATTACTAATCTAATTTACCGTTAACTGGTAATCATCTATTTCCCTCATTAATTTTTCACTAAGCTTGTCAGCGAAAGCGGTTAAATGTTTGTGACATTCTTCGTTCCACGTATTGCTAGATCTTCGAGAGCCATCAGTATCGCCATTTTCTCCATCATCATCCAACAGGGGCATGGTGTCAGGTGAAAATCTGTAATCGGAAAATTGACTTGTAATAGGAAAATTTCAGCAACATATTTTGCAGATCAAAATAAATAAAAAAATTCTACAAAAATGTATGAATAAAATGTTTCTAAATTTATCATTTCAGTCAAATAACTATCTAGTTAACATGTTTATTTTTTGTCAATGATGACATGTATTTATTATTTCGACTCCAAATATCTTGAGAACCCAAGAGGTTTACCATACAGATTTTTACCTTTTTTACGTAAAAAAACAGCGGGATATTACTCTTTAAAGCAGTTTAAAAATATGTAGGTTATACCCCCACAAGTAGGAGCCATACTGACACCGCAATCGAATTGATCATATCAAAAAAACAATTTTCATCCCAATATCGATGTTAGTTTAGGAATATTTGGAATATCTTAAAATAAAAATGTAACTTCTACACTCTGTATCTCCGAAACGAAGCATTTTAGGATATAAATTTATACGATTTTTTTACTTATTTTTATCTGCAGAATGTGTTGTCGAAGTTTTCCGATTATAATTCGGACCACTCTGTATAGTTCAGTATAATTAATAATTACTAATAAATCGATAGCTAGGTATAATGATTATCTTATAAACAAGTATTTAAAAAAAGTATATAAAGCGATCTAGAACAATTTATTAATGCAAAGCTGGGGAATAAATAAAAAACAAAAAAAATATATATGTAAATCTTAGGAGGATAGATAGATGATATAGAATCAAATCTCGGATGAAAAAAAAACTAAAATACCTTCTCTGTAAAATGGAGAAGACATCACCAGTTGGTAACTTTCTTTTACATTTTGAATTCGATTTAATAACTTTATCTACAGCTTCATCTAGACTATTCGCTACATTAGCCGCAGCTTCCAGCAAACTCATACCTAAAAAGTAATTTAACATTTATGAGCTAAGTTGAGAGAAATTAAGAAAATAATTATAAGTACCGAGCTATCAACAATTATTGAAAGATCATCTCAGATGCAAAAAACGCAACGGATAATTTTTTCGTCAAGTTTAAAGTGTTATGTTTTTCTTAATTTTAGCTCTATTTTTATAAATTTTTTAGCATACTGTATATAAATCTATCAATTTTAATTCATAAACTCAGATTTTTATAAACTTTAATATTTGGCTCAATTAACCCTTATACAGAAAGACAATACCCTAAGTTTAAAACACCCTGTGCAATAATTGGAGCAGCTTTTCCTAAAATATTATTTTTCGATCAGAACCATGCTCCTGAGCATGTTGTTTTTTAACTTATGTCAACACATGCCTTGGTTAATTTTTAAGAGCGAAATAAACTTATCACCAACAATTTATAATTTTTTCAACTATCATTACTTTATGACGTTATTTTTTAATATCACGAGGTGGCTTTATGACTATTGTAATGTCATATCGACACTGTATGAAAATTTAAAGAACGTTAAAAAGTAACGACCCAGGCTTGCTTTTAATAAATATTAGTAACACCTATGCACAATATTCGACACTAAGGACTAGCGATGGGAACTATCGAATGAATTAGACTATCGAATGGTTAATGAATGAATGATATCAACAATCGAATGGTTTTATTCGAATAAAATCATTCATTCATTTGTATACTAAAGCATATGTGACAACCTCGCCGTGCGACTAAATGGTTATCGTTGAGCCACGACTATCGAATGCTTTTGATAAATGAAATTTAGTATTCGTTTGATTTTTGTATGCGTCGGTGCATTATTAGTTCTTCCAAATTTTTATAACTTCGCCGTATAACTACTGTGCTATTTTTGCGTTTATTAAAATAGTTAAAATACTAAAATAGTAGTTATTTTTTAATTTTATTTATTGACGATTGTGTGCATGTGCAAATGGTCAAAATTTTTCCGAAAATTTGTGTGGTTTTCCGTAGTCCGATCTTTCAATTATTTAATTTTATATGGTATATGGTCTATTTTTTAATGGGAAATTTTGAGAAGTAGCAATTTTTAAGAGAGATGAGATGAACTTACAATTAATTTTAAAAATACATATTTGTATTTTAGATGTTTTAATAATATGAATTAGTTGAACTTAATAATCATATTTAAGTAATGTGGTTGTATAATCATATTTAAGTAAATGGTTATCGAACTCAAACTATGGGGTGAGAAAATTAAAATGAAAGTTTTACACGTGCCAATTAAAAAAAAAGTTAACGATGTTTATATTTTGTTTATGCTAATTCTCTTACATGTAGTTTTTTCCGAAGAAAAAATATTTCATTTATTTTTTAAAGTAAATGCCAGTAAAAGTAAATATAATTTTTAAATAGTAATATAAAGCACCTAATATAAATAATTTTGATTTCTAATTTTTTATTTATATTTTCCTTCCATTACACTGCATGCTTAGAAAATTAAACAACGTTTGTCAAAAAATTTAGAGACTATATTATTTTTAAATAGGATCTAATATAAATAATTTTGACATCTAATTTGTTGTTTATATTTTGCTACTACTTAAAAGAAAATATTTATATTAAATGATTTTAAATTTTGTTGTTAATAGGTATAACAAATTATTACTGTTATTATTATTTATTAAACCAGTCTTTGCTAAAAACATTAAAAATAATTTTCCTACATCCAAAATAACAAGTATTATTGCAGTGTAACAACAGAATATTAATAAAAAAAATGCAGAATATATAGTATGTCTATATATTCCCTAATTAACTAAAGCCAAACAATAATATTCTTTGCTAATATCAACTAATACCAAAATATGGCAACAGCGCTTTTCATAATGTATTTTCTGTGTAAATACTAGCACCTCAATAAAAAAAATAATGTGTCCTTATCTATATCTGACTCCGCAAAAAATCAAAAATGCCGGCTTCTTTCATAGCATTGCCACCGACCACTGTCGGATTTCTCGGAAAGAAACCTACGTCGCCGGGCTACAACTAAAATTCAGTTAATATTTTATTATAATCAATCCTGACGAATGAATGAATTTCATAAATGAATGAATTTTATAAATGAATGTTTTTTGCTGCCGAATTACTAGAATACAATATTTCAAGGCAGATGACGGATCTATTCGATAATTTTTATTCGAATAGTTTTCAACGAATGTTTTCTTACTAACTATCGAATTATTCGAATGAATTGCAACTATCGAATGTTTCGATAGTATTCATTCGATAGTTCCCACTACTACTAAGGACCATATTTAATCGAACACAACCTTAACACAAGTATAATAACCAAAACCACGTTGTCATTATGAAGAATAACATTAAAAAGTAACGATAATTGAAAAAATTCATTCAGAGAACAATTCAGTTAAAGAACGGCTAGTCATATATTGAAAAATTATGAGTACACCAATAATAGTATATTGTTTGATTAGGAGTAAAAATAATACTGTATGTGGCGAGGCGATAGGTCACAGGTATTAGAGGCAAAGCATAAAAAGTACATTTTTACTCCAAATAGAACATGCTATTTTTTTCAAACGTCACAAATGATTTTTAAACAACAATCGCCGCAAATAATATAAAAACTAATACCTTGTAAGTAATTATACCGTGTGTTGTAAGTAATTATACCATTTTATTTTGCAGAAAAAATTATTTGAAACTTTTTAAAAAACTCCTTAAAATGAAGCAAATTGTTCATTTTGAACGGTTTATACGAATTCGATTTTGAGTTATGAGAGATACAAAGATAGGCGAAAATTAAAAATAAAGCTACATTCGAAATCAATTCGCTGGCCGAGTGGCACTTCGACGTTAAAGTCGGCACGAAATTAACCATTCACAACAAATTTCAATTTGAATTTTGCGCATGCGTGTTTAAACGTTCTCCTGACATTTTTTAGGTTAGTTGTTGGTTTTGATTTTGGAAGAGTCAAAATCCGGGACAGTTGTTAATTAAGTTTTCAATGTTTTTATGTTTAGAAAAATGGAAACATAAACGTCATTTATTGATGATTTTTTTCTAAAATGTGTCTCAAGCACCCAAAACTTTTTCTCGCCATTAATATGGGTCGGACACCCCATTTTTTGGGTTTTGGTAAACCCCTTGGTTTTCGGTCAAGCTAATTATTGAGCTGCAACAATAATTGCGTCCTAATAAAATAAGAATAGCGTCCTTCACTCATTTTTCTTTTAATAATTATTTACTTTTCACAGGAAAATGGCTTGTAACAACGACACAAACAAAATAATTATTAAAATTTAAATGTCAAATTTGTCATAATTGTCAAACGAAAATTCCGTGCTGAAGTGGAAGTTTGCAGCTTGCAAGCTTTCAATCCAACTTCAACTTGCACTCTGGCGTCGAATTTTGTTGTGAATGAGTACACTGAAGTACATAAGATAAGCTTGCGTGCCAAAGTACGACTCGGCCAGCGAATTGATTTATGCCCACTTGCACCGTTTGTATAAACTTTGTTTAAAGGCTAAACAGTGATTAACTATAATAAAATATGTATAGTTAATCACTGTTTAGCCTTTAAACAAAGTTTATACAAACTGTGCAAGTGGGCATTAGAATGTAGCTTAATGCAGTCCTGATCAAACAAACATAACAATCACAAGTTATGTCACAATATGTCAAATCTATTATGATTTTCTTCTACAGAGATCTGTCAAACATATTTTCAGTTATATTATTTATGAATAGTTCCAAAAGTACACTGTAAACATACGAGAATTTTTTAAAAATTAAATATATTTCGTAAATAAGTATGAAAAGAGAAAAGACAAATAATAAGAAAATTAAGAAAAACAGAGAAATTAAGAAAAGATAAAAGATAAGATAAAGATAATTAAGAAAAATAGAGAAAATTAAGAAAAACATGAAAATATGGTTGATTTTTTTAAGTCCTAAAAATCAAAAGGTGTTTCTATATATCAACCCGATTTCGTTCTTTGATAGATTCTTTCGTTAATTTTGATAGTTTATTTCGTTAATTTTGATTAATGTCATATTCTTTGCTGTTAAAGTATCATATTTTCCGAAAACTATCATCACCCTTTCCGTAACATTGAACTAAAGAAATTTTGTGCTTCTTTAACATTGTAAAACAACAAAAAACATTACATTAATTAAAATTTTATGAACTTTTTTGACTTTTGGGACAGACAATCCGGGGACAAACTGTATATCTAGAAACTGTAGCTACACTGGTTGAATTTTTGTTAGTTTAATAATATTAAATATATTTAATAATATATTTTTGTACTTTTGTGCTTAGGCATTAAAATGGCATTTGTATAATATCAATCACGTTGCAAAACTTAATAATTTTGTGACTTGAAAAAAATATTTTGTCGTTGTTTATCATTGTGTCTTCTAAGCCTTCTGCCTGGATGTTTATTTTATCATATGCTAAAAATTGTAAATTACACTTACCTTCGTTAACGTTATTATTCTCTGGAAAATAAAATCTACCCTTAACAGAACTATACGGTGGCGAAGTATGTTTACTGCTCGACTTAATACTAACTACGCTATCTACTGAGTCTGGGGATGAAACACAACTGGAATCGCTATCGTCGTCTTCTTCTGGATTGAATATTTCTAACTTAAGTAATTTCGGAATCCGTTTAGCTATTGTCTCTTCCTGAAATTAAATTATATGCCTAAATATCACTTCATACAGGGTGACAATGCCGCTATTTGTTTACATTTTTGGAAACTGGGATATAAAATGCAGTTTATGAATTCTCAAATTTTGTATTAAAGAATACTGAATATATACAGGGTGATCCGAACTGTATTCGGGAAACTTCGGTAGCGTATTCTGCCGATAAAAATAAGTAAAAAAGTTTATATAAATTTATGTCCTTAGTTTCGGAGATAGAGGGTGTAAAAGTTTCATTTTTATTTCGAATTTTTTCAAATAATTTCTGAAGTAGCGTCAGTATTTGTTATCAATACTTGTCATCATTGACATAAATTAGACATGTTGATTAAATAGTTATCAGACAAATAATAAATTTAAAATGTTTTTTTGCGAAAAGTTTAACAAAAACTGCTTTATCATAATTCTTTCGAAGAAAAATTTATGATTAATTTTAAAAAAATAAAAAGTTTTCAAATTTATCATTTCAGTCAAATAATCTACTCAACATGTTTATTTTTTGTCAATAATGACATGTGTTGACTATTTCCATGCTAAATATCTTGAGAACGATTGCTCTAGCGATTATTAACAAGAGAAATTTTTTACGTAAAAAATCACGGAAATGTATATTATATTTTCACTCAGTATTTTATACAGGTACGGACGAAAATATTACTCTTCAAAACAGTTAAAACACATGTAGGTGGCTCCCCCTACAAATAGGAGTCATATTGACATCAAAATCAAATTTCTCATGTCAAAAAACTTCCAAAAAATAGTTTTCATCCAAATATTGAAGTTACTTTAGACATTATTTGGAAAAAATCGAAAGAAAAATGAAACTTTTACACCCTGTATCTCCGAAACTAAGCATTTAAGGACTAATTAATAATACGAACTTTTTTACTTATTTTTATTTGCAAAATATGCTGCCGAAGTTTCAGTCCAAGTTTCCGAAATACAGTTCGGACCACCCTGTATAATTAAATGTTGGATTTAAGGCTACTTTTACGAACATAGATTATTTTTGACTTACTTTACCATCCGAATCTGATATTTTTCTAACAATTGGACAGTTGTTTCTCGTAGATTTCATGCCAAATCCCGGTTTCTGACATAGTATCTCTCGAATTTTTCGTAATTTTTCATTCCTAGATTCATCTTGCAACGTAACAAACCCCGATTGCTTGTCTGTATAGTTTGAGTTTCCATCCGATACAATTATGTTTGTTTTAGGCTTAATAGATGTTGATATGCAGTTGGAGTTATCTGAAAAAATATTTCGTATTAAAGACAACCATTTGCAATTTTAGTTAATATAAATACCGTATGATCGAAAAAAAATGGCCAAACCAAACCAAACCAGTTGGCTTGGAAATGACGATCGATGACATTTCCCATATAATTTTACATATAAAATGACAGCGATCTTCATTTCATAGCCATCGCTGACGCCGTTTTTATTCTATCATACGGTATAACGTGTCACGTTCACAGAATTTTATTTTGGCCCAACTACTAGCCGCCATTTTAAAAACAGCACTTGAACGCCAAAAGTTAAACAGTAGTATACTGAGACATGACTCAACTCGTTTGATCAGTTGATATGATTTGTCCAGTTTATTACATTCATACGAAGTGATTTCAGGTGACTTGATCTTTATTATCAAAAGTAATAGTTTTACTATAAACTAAATATAATGAGAATTAAAAGGTCAATTTTGTTTTAAATAAAATAGTATTTACTACTTTTAATCAACAGTTTATATTATCTGTTTATATGTTGACACACAACACACACAAACAATATTGCATAAGACATCAAAAAATGCAATGAAAAATTTGTACAAACTGCAATGCGAAAACAGAAAAAGCTATAAAAACGCTAAAAAATCCCTCATGATTGGAAAGAAGCAGCTAATCGCATTAACACACAACAATATCAGAATAACAGACAAAAACGAAATAATAAGCCTGGTAACAAGGTTCTACTCTACAGCCACCGATACATATATAAACCCTCAGAAAACGTACAGGAAGAAGAAAGGCTGCCACTACCACACGATGACGTCCCAGAATTTCTCATGGGAGAAGTAGAAAAGGCACTTCAAGATGTGAAAATGGAAAAGCAGCAGGAAACGACGGTAACAGCTGAAGTACGCTGGTAGGAGAACTTGGAAAATCCTAGCAAATATATACACCCGCTGGCTAAAGAGAAAACATATACCACAAGACTGGAGTAGCGCCAACATAATTCTAATTCATAAGAAATTCAGCAAAGAAGACATCAGAAACTATATAAGAAGCCTACTACCAGTAACACAAGATCTTTACAAAAATAATAAACAACCGAATACAAAACACGCTAGACGCTGCACAATCAGGAGAACAAGCAGGGATTTAGAAGCGGCTTCAGCACAATTATTGATCACATACATACACTAAGAGAAACTATCAGCCGAACAAAAGAATACGAACTTCCACTAGCCATAGCTTTTATAGACTTTGAGAAGGCTTTCGACTCAATACATCCTAAGATAATAATAGAAGCCCTAGCGAAATAAGGTACTGACAGGCCTTATATAGAAACTCTCGCCAATATATACAAGGGAGCCAAAGCAAGAGTAATGATATATAAAATAACCCCAGAGTTCCCAACTGGTAAATGAGTACGACAGGGAGACACGATATCCCGAAAGCTGTTTACAGCAACATCAGAAGAAATCTTCCGTCAAACTGGGCTGGACCAACAAATGATTAAAAATAGATGGAGAATATCTTAACCATCTAGCTATCTATCTCTTTCTCTCTCTCTCTCTCTCTCTCTCTCTCTCTATCTTAACCATCTTTCGCTGATGACATAAACCATTCTAGCACTGCCTGCAGGTCACACAACGCTCAATGTAACGAAATATGATGGGAGAGAAATAACCAAGAGAGACCGTAAAAGAATAGAGTGGATACGACAAAAGACCCAGGTAATAGATGTCATCCACAGAGTCAGATTTCTTAAATGACAATAAGCAGGACACCTGGCAAGAAGAACGGACAACAGATGGACCATAAAAATTACAGCATGGTACCCACGAGGAATTAAGAGACTGTAACAGTTAAATTTCATCGCTACGACCTCTGTGTGCTAGCTCATAAATTATCGCAAATAACTGTTATTTTTGCATCATGTTTACTATAATTTTATTGTTAAATATTATTTTATTTAGGATTTTACCATTATGCAACCCGATATACATCTCTAGATTATACAGCTTCAGCTCCACTGTCACTGATGCCGACCAGCAGTAGGCTTTTTGTCCGTCTCTCTATATCTTTGATCATCACCTGTTCGTCACTTGTCACTGTCAGATCAAATCAGATGTTTTTGGATTTATTTATCCTTTGTTTTGGTTATTGAAATTTTATAATTATCAGATAAAATTTCGTAGTTAAATCGTTTATTTTTGATGTGGATCGCAGTGTGCAATCGTTCATTGACCGGATATGAAATATGGCTGTTGAAAAATAATCTAGAACATCGTTTTTTATTTATACCTTTTTGTGAGTTGGACTAGTCGAGAGATATAGTTCTCTATCTATATCCTGGAGGGAGATTTCCGGTTGAAATCTGATTTTGTGAAGGAAATTGAATCCTTGCATCACTTCTTGTGTACTCCCCGACCGAGAATATCGTCGTGAAGAACTGGCTGCCGTTTCGTGAAGCATTCCCTGTTGGCGAATAGCAGGTCTTCGTAAAGAAGGATTAAGTCTTCCGAAACACATTTGGTCAGAGACGTGGTTGGATTTTGTGGATTTTTATGGACCACCGACCAATTTCCGCAATGGGATTAAAATAGCCAAATTTTTCCGACCGATATTCCGATTCCACGTGCCCAAGAAGTCCCCGAATAGTTCCAAGGTATGCTATAATTCTTCTGACTAGTCTAAGTCAATGCTCAACTGATTTTTATTCGTATTGTTGACTGGTTTTCGACTTTTCCACGCCCACGTGGTGTAGAAAGATTAGTTGAGTGTTATCTTTCTTAAATCTTATTTGGTTGTTCGTAATTGTAGAGCAAGAAGACCGATCCAGACCGTAGCACAGAACAGTCCAGAATTCCATCCGTTCCTGTTGCCCGTGTGTAGAGTTACCCGTTGGACATCATAAACCCTCGTAGAGGGTTTTTATGTTCACCTTTTGAAATCCTACACCTGGCCGGCATCCGTCCATCTGTTGACATCCGTGGGCTCCAGTGACATCACATCAAGCTGCTGTACACCGTCGTAGCCACCCATAGCTATACACCATAGCTCAGCCAGAGGAACTTCTGAGTTGTTTCAAGTTTATACAACCCTTAGAGTAAGACTGTTTAGATTAGTATAATTTTAGATTTGATATTTGTAATCCACCCAGGATTTTGTACTTAGTTTAAGTAAGGGGGATTATGACGTCATACTTTTAGTTAGTTTTCTTGATTTAAATTTTATTCTACTTTTCAACTTTTATTCATTTCTATTTCTTTAAATATTAACTTTTAATATTTTAATAAATTGCTTAAACATTTTTAGTAGTATTATTTGCAGTCTAGTCTCATAGTTAAGTTAGAGTCACTTAAGTTTAATGAGTTATAGCATATTTGAAGTTCATGGTAGTTGCACTCAACAGTTCGAGGTTGGTGTTGAAGTCTACTTAATAGTTACATCTTAATTGCCGAGTTCATAGAGTATAATCTCGTGGCGCCCTTTTATTAATATCTTTGAACCCCGACCACCCGGCTGTTAAAATTAAAAAGCTAGTGGCCTCTATGCAACTCATTCAGATTAAGTAAACTTTGTGTTTTATTGAACTTCAAATTAGAAAGGGCGCGGCAAGACCTAGAGGAAGACCAAACCTGAGATGGGACCATGACATTAGGAACTAGCAGGAATAACTTGGGCATAGCCAAACAATAAACAGCAGATGGCCCAACTACAGAGTAGATATTTAATTATATAAGAGAGGCTACACCATAATTGGAAATGGTTGAATAAGCTGAGAGTGATGATGATGATGATATGTTGACACAAAGTTTACTTATTCACGATTTGGTTATTACAATCCTATTATAAAAACTAGACTAAATTACTATCCAAAAAAACGGCATTGTAGTTGACTTGGAAATGAAGATCGCTGTCTTTTTCAAAATTGTTTGCGTAATGTCATCTATCGTCATTTCTAAGCCAACTGACTTGACCACTTGACTTCCTTTTTTGATCATATGCTAAATACCTTTTAAGTTAGGAGTATTGAGACTGGTCCTTTTGAATTTTGGAATTTGCGGAACTGCATATTTCTGAGCTAACGTTTTTGTACTTTCTTTGGTCTGTTTCTGGACGTGTTGAACGGGTAACAGATTCGGTTTGAGATCGCATTCTTTGTCGTCAGTTGGAAAGAAAACAGCTGTAGTAGTTGTCAGCAGTTCTGTAGATGGCTGTAATTAAAAACATTCATGAAAATCACCTTTTTAACGTTCAAAATGTTTCTGGTAGGTATCTTAATATCGTGCCACAAATCGTGAAAAAGTTCATGATACATGGACAAATGATATTGTATAGCTAAGAAAAAGATTCTAATATTTGTTATTAGCTAGAGTATACAGGGTGCTACAAATTCGGAATACGAGCATTGGTATCTCGGTAACCGTAATAGATACGGCATGGTTAAACTGGGATAAAGTTGCGCTTTGGGATGTTCACCAAGATGATGATAAAAAAAATAAAAATAATAGTACGAGAGCTAGCAACGTCCTTATCGGATATTTAATACTTTACTATCAGAATATAAACGAAAATAAAATAAAAAAGTTGTTGCCTTGACCCGGTTTCGAACTCTGGATCATCGGTTCATAGTCGGAAACTCTACGCGCTGCGCTATGGAGACTTGTTCGATTTATATTCAATACTAGAATTTAACGGACTCAATAAAAAAATATGATCTACTTCCGATGCGCAGTAGTGAACGCAACGAGTATCGGCAGAGATGGGCCGCAAGCTGTTCCAGAGAGCATAGTAAAATATATATCAAAGAGCCAGCTTTCTTAAAATACTTTCTCGAAAACGTTACTAGCTCTTAGACTATAATACCTTGTATGTAATTATATATCGAGAAACGATAGTTACGCTAGTTGAATTTGACACTTTATGTCAGTTTAATCATATATTTTCGTACTTTTGTGCTTAGGCTTTAAAGTGCTTTACTTTTATGCCTAGGCGTTAAAATGACTTTTTGTAAAAGCGTTTCGAAATTGACAGTTTTTGATATTTATTTGAGATTCGAAATGACATTCTTTTAGGCACTAGTATCTAAAAGTGACACTTGTTTAGGCACTAGTGCCTAAAAGTAAAAATATGTTTTTCTTTGACCCAGGTTTCAAAGTTGTTGTAGGTGCTCTCGTATAAGTTTTTCGACTTCTCGGGCACCAACGTGGATAGCGCAGTTTCAGCAGCTTGTTGAATATCCAAAGACTCGTCATTATCACTCATTTTTTCACAACTTTTTTACTTTGTATGAAATACGGCGACGTTTGAACCTGACAGAACTTTGTCATTAAACAATACATAAAAAATGCCTTAGGAACCGGTTACCAGAACATTTTAAAAAATGTTTAAAAATAAATAATAATAATAGCATAAAAATCTCAAATTATCCGCTTTCACAAAAAATCATGTATGAAATTCGTTGCGAAAAGAGCATTTATTTCGGACATAAATAGTATAAATAAATACTATTATATAAAATACTATTTTTATTCACATTATATTTGTCACGTCGCAAAAATTAATACTTTTGTCACGTTTTTTTAAAAACGCTATTGCAAGTAGTATGATTTTTTTAACGCAAAATCCTTGTCTGTTTCTATTTTATGTTTTTAAAAAAAATCAGTAAGCTTTAAACTTCCCATGTTTACTAAACTTAATGATTTTTTTCCTTTGTTTATAAAATTAAGTATAGAGCATGATATATCTTAAGAAATCTTATAACAAAAGAAATAAAATAAAAAAATAATATACAGGGTGGCGCACCTCATTCGCCTCGGTTGATTATACGAGAACGGAAAGATGTAGTAACAAAATATTTCATGTGTGTATGTGGGAAGACAATGTGCATAATTTAAAATTATTTTTAAATGTACAGGAGGTGTCAGAACTAAGATCCATATCAAAGTTATATTTTTTCTTATGGAACACTCTGTATTTTATTTAATTTTTGGATTCTAGGACATAAAATAAGGAATTTATATATTTTTTACTACATATACCAGCGAATATAGGACATGTAGTATTTCAAAGGAATGCTTATCAGGAAGATTCCTATTTGCATATTTTTAAGCATAAGCCCTTGAGGCCAAGAAGCAATTTTCCTCACAAAATAAAATCACTAGTAACAGCCATTCGCTCCGCAAGCAGATACTGCTTTATTTTTCATGATAAAATATTGAATACTTACTTATTAAACTATTGTAGGTAAATTTAAGTAAACTGTTATAAATTATAAATAATAATATCCATAAACTATACCAAAATAGTTACTAACTGTCACTAAAAAATTGCCATGGCGACACCAGCCATCCTGACTGCTATTTTATTTAAAAATCACTTTTCATTCAAAATCTGAGTTAGATAGGTATAGGAAACCCTAATATAGTTTGAAAGAGCATTTGAATCTGCTTCGATTTATTTTAAAAAATACAGAGTGTTGTATTTGAAATAACAAAGTTTTTATCAAAATAAATCCTTAAAATAGATTAGCAATTTTTGGTACCCATATATAAATTTAAGGAAGCAATAACATTTTTCAGCAAAGTTTATTTCTCTGCCTTTAAACTCAGCACAAGATTTAATTCTGAAAAATAATGTACATGGTGTTAATAATCTCTTTATTGTAGCATGGATATTCAAATATCTTTAAATATCTCAAGAACCAAAGATTTTAAACATATTTAGCCCTTATAATAAATGTCTTTTTTTGGGTCCAAGAATCCAAAAATTAAATAAAATACCGGGGGTTCCATAAGAAAAAATATAAGTTTGGTATGGATGTTAGTTCTGAAACACCCTGTATATTTCAAAATAATTTTAAATTGTGCACATTGCCTCCCCATATATAGTCATAAAATATTTAGTTTCTACATCTTTCCGTTTTCGTATAATCAACCGAGGCGAATGAGGTGCGCCACCCTGTATAGGATATCCCATTTAAAAATACATAAATTTGGGTCATATTTCAGAAACGACAGCACCCAGAAAAAAACTAGGTACGCCACTGAATTCTGGTTAAGTTAGAGATGGTTTTGAAAGCGTAACAATTTCAAATTTGTCCTGTATGTCGGGAACAAATTATATGTTATTATGAGCATCTTCCTTTTTACCTCTTCTAATAAACGAGAAACCCTGAAAAACACACGAAAATGTTCAGATATATGAACTTGTAGATATATGATTATTTTTTAATTTTAGACTAATTAATTAAACTTAAAGAACTCACTTTTGGAGAACTGAATTGTTTGGTAAGCGGATGTACTCCAATCGACATTTGTTTCACTCGCGGACTGGTCGGGCAGCTCGACTGCTTGATTCGAGGAGATTGTGGGGCAGACTGACATCCGCCTTTCAGTAAAGGAGATGCTGGTCCCGCTGACAAAGTACCGCCAATAGGTGACATTGGATCAGATTTGGGGACAAAAATAACCGATGCAAAGGAATCCTCTGAGTCGACACTGGTGTCAGACTGGAGACTACTGTCCTTCGATGAGTCTGAACCGTCTTCTTTTGAGTGCCTCCTGAAAATAATATACATTATAGTAAGTTATTAAATGTATCCACAAGTAGACACGGTTTTGGACCTGAGCAACTAAAAGCAATTTCTAAGATAATTTTTGGAGCTGAATCCAAATCAGCAGTCCATTTTTTAAGATTGGTTCTAGTTTTCGAAATATTCAATAAATTCATTATTTTACTATTTTTGACCGTTAACGGTCATTTATTGAATTACACAATATAAATCAGAAATGAACAGAGGTTGAACTGAGTCTTTTATACTGCTAGGGATCTGTTTCATGGATTAGGGTCCAACAGTAATCGCTCATCATGCCTTCGTCCCAAAATCCTTAGTATCGCCTTTCGATTTTCGCTATATCTTGGTGTAGCCGCTCTTCTTGCTCGTCGCTCGTGTCGCCCAAGTTTTGTGGAAAAAAATCAAGATGTGAATGCAGAAAATGTATCTTGAGACACATTCGAGCTCCAATCTTGTGGTAATTTTGCAACAAATTGTCGATTACTTGCTTGTAATCCGGTGATTTATGATTACCGAGAAAGTTGTGAACAACACTTTGAAACGATGCCCATGCTGCTGCCTTATCAAGCGTTAAACATTTTGTAAACGTTGCGTCAGTTCGAATATCAGGTCCGACAAATATTCCTTCTTTGATGTTTGCGTATGACAGTTTTGGAAACAACTTGGTTAAGTACTGGAAAGCCGGTCCTTCGCGATTGAGCGCTTTAACAAAGTTCTTAATAAGACCAAGTTTAATGTGAAGAGGTGGCAGTAAAGCGTCCTGTGGGTTTACAAGTGGTACAGAAGACACATTTTGTTGTCCTGGCTCCTAGTGGGTACGACTCGGCCACCCATCGGCAGCACAACTACAATACAAATCCAAATTATGTTTCCAATTGCCGGTTGCAGCGCTGTCCTCAGTTGACGACGTTACATTAAATTTTTATAAGGGGCCGTTATAAGAGCGCAGTGCTACTGCCATGCGCCAACTCGAAAACTGGAGCCAATCTTGACAACGGATTGAAGATCTGAGTTCAGGGTATCAAATAACGTTGTGAATCGTTCTCATCTGCTCGGGTCCAAAAGATGACTCGAATTTGTAAACTTGTGTTATTAAACGGCTTAACCCTAAGGTCAAATGGTCAATGCCCCCCCCCCAAAAATCAGAAAAAAATTAGGAAAAACCTATTTAAATTATACTTTTTGTAAATAACTTTTTTTCGTCCTAAGGTATTCTAAACTATTCCCAAAAACCATCAATTTGTCCAATTTTCGCTTCAAAACATTTTTTCTACGACTAGCCTAGAAAATGCAGTTTGACTCACGGAAAACTCAAAATTGGCGTTTTGCAACTGTTGTGTGCTAAGGATTTAGCGCACGACATGTGTCATTTTGCACACGACATGGGCCAATTTTAATATTTTTAACCTCCAATGTTTAGCTGAAAGGCCAAACGCAACGCAGCCGTCAGAAAAGTGTCATCATTACATCGCAAATTATTTCACAAAACTGGCAAAAACTGAGCGAGTCTGCTGTTAATTTGTAGTCGTAGAAAAAATAGCGTAAAAAACTCGTTCGAAAACTTCTTTGTACACTCGTTCGACTTGTGGTTCTTGCCTGCGGCTCGAGCCAACAAACTGTCGAACTCGTGTGCAAAACGTCGTTTTCGAAACTCGTTGTTTAATATACTATTATTTTACCCATTTTCTCTACTGCCCGTCAACATTTCATTTTGTCCTTCATTCCCGCACATGTTTTGCACGTATTAAACTCCAAATGCCGCGGCTCGTAATGCCAACAAGGCAAGAAAAACGTATAGGAACTACGTATAGAAAATATAACGGGTTAAGGTGCGATAGATATTGTTGCGGGCCGGTGTGGACTCGACCTAACCTCACAATATGGCCCGCCCTCGGATGACCTTAACATCGCATAGACACCGCAATGATTCATTCGTTCGAGAAGAATCGAGTCCCACTGGAATGGACTAGTACATACGAGAACATTCGAAAACCTTCTCTACGCACCTAACGATCTATGGACAATTCTAGAGTTCTTTACCTGTCGGTATAAAAGCCGGCGGAGGTGGCCTACAGGGGGCAGTTATAAATATACCAGTGCAGTTGACGCGCGAAAATTCAAAATAAATTCTTAGTTATAAATCGTTTGTAAATAGTTCTATAAGTCTTTTATCGTTATTGTTTTTGTTAATTAGTGTTAAATAAATAGTGTTTAAATAAATTGTGACTTTCTATCCACACGGAACCGACGAAAAACGTAATAATTGGTGTCAAGTGTGGCGTGTGTGATAGACTAGAAGAATAAAAAGACTGACCATGGCTCTGAAAAAATTGTTGAAAGACTTGAAAGTGTCGAACTGAAATGCATATTGGAAGAGAGAGAGAGTGCGAGACAGATGGAAAGAAAAGCATTTTGGGTAAGCTAGACTAAGAGACGTTTTGGTGGAGGAAGGTGAGGATCCTGACACATTTTACTTCGAGCTGGAAGGTGACCTTGACTCGTCATTGAAAAATTTTACAAGACAATTTAAACGACAATTTGAATAGTAAAATAATTGACTTGGAAGTTAATTTAGAAGAGAAAAATCAGTGATAAACTTAATATTTTTAGAAGATAAGATCGCAGAAAATTCTAAAGACATACAGGCCAGCTTTAATAATAAAATAATTAATTTAGAAGAAAAGATAACAGAAATTATAGAGAATTTTACGGAACTACAAGACAAAATAACACAAATTGAGGACGATGTAAATAAAAAATCGAAATTTTAAAACAAGAAATAGCAAAGGCAAATTCACCAAAATGTCAAGAAACATCGGAGGCACCAAAACTAGTCGAAAATAAGTATATCTCAAAGTCAGTTATTAAGCCTCCACAGTTTGACGGAAAAACCGCTTGGGTAAATTATTTTTGCCAGTTTGAGGCCGCTGCGAGAGCGAACGGATGGACAATCGCTGAAAAGGCTACCGCTTTGACTGTCGCACTGCGAGGAGATGTGACTGATATCCTGCAGACATTGTCACCATCAGAACAGGGAGACTATCAGCAATTGGTACGACATTTAGAAATGAGGTACGGCCAAGCTCATTTGGAACATGTCTATCATTTCCAGCTAAAAATCGCATTCAAAAGTCAAATGAGTCTCTACAGGAGTTTGAAACCGACGTAGCCCGCCTTGTTCGCCTTGCGTACCCTGCTACGCCCGAGAATGTTATGGAGCGGTTGGCAGTACAGGCATTCTCCGATGGCTTACGTGACAACGAGACAAGACAAGCACTTCTCCTAGCTCACCCAACGCACTTAGTGGACGCTTTAGCACGTGCCCTAGAATTCGAGGCCGCGAAACAAAGTTCTCGGTCTTTAGGAAAAGTACGGGCCATCGACGAATGTTCCGACGAATCCGTGGAAGGGATTGTTCGGAAAGTAATGGACCAGTACATGGGCAAGAAGGGACCGATTCGTTGCTGGAACTGGGTGGACAGGTGGGACACGTGCGAAGCCGTTGTAAGGGAGAAGAACGAAGAACCGGCTTCGTCGAGGTCGGAAAACTACTAAGGGTCGAAATGAAGGGGCACACGTCGACCTGTACCCAACATGCCCCAACGAAAACTGCTCAAGTCGCCTCGCTACAACACAAATTCAACAGCATTTTTGTGGATGGTTTTGTTGATGGAGAGTTCCGGACCAACTTTTGTTATTGGGAGCACCAGTTTTGAACATCCAGTGTTAGTAGCAGATATCGAAGATGAACTTATTCTCGGAATGGACATCATGACCACTAAAGGTTTTGAACTAAACTTCAAACAAGGAATTTTGAAAATAAATGAAGAAGAAGTGGTTCTACATCGAAAATGTGAGGAGACGCTTCGCGTGGTGGTAGCAGAAGATGTTTCGATCCCTGAGCGCTGTGAGATATTTTTGGATGGTTGCCTAGAAGGTAAAATGAATAATGGGAGTATTATTCTGTTGGAGCCAAGGAACCATGACAGCGAAATAGGACGAGGGATCGCTGTTGGAAAAGCCCTGCTACGAGCGAAGAAAACTGTACCGGTGAGAGTAATGAACACGAATTATTATTCTGTATCCTTGAAGAAGGGAACCCTCTTAGGGTACTGTTGTTCGGTCTCCTCAGTCGTTCGAAGCGTGGAAGCCTCCAAAGTTTCGACTTCAAAAATTCCGGACAAAATGGTGAAGGAGTTAGTAAACGTTAAAGGATTATCTCCCGAAAATAGAAGAAAATTGAGAAACCTGATAATCAAGTATCAAGATGTGTTTGATAAAGGAGAAGCAGGACAGAGAGGTCGTACCAATTTAGTACAACACAAAATTGATACCGGAGATGCACGACCAATCAAACAAAATCCGAGAAGACTTCCGCTCGCCAAACGTGAAGAAGCTGATAAAATCCTTCGAGAAATGAAAGAAGAGGGTGTCATCGAACCATCTAACAGCCCGTGGACATCGCCGGTAGTACTAGTAAAGAAGAAAGACGGTACCACCAGGTTCTGTGTTGATTATCGGCAGCTCAATAATGTTACCAAGAAGGATAGTTATCCCCTGCCGAGGATAGACGATACTCTAGACACGCTGGCGGGGTCAACGATATTCTCTACGTTAGATCTGAAGAGTGGATATTGGCAAGTCACATGGCGCCGAAAGACAGAGAGAAGACAGCGTTCTCGGTGGGCACCGGACTGTGGCAATTTACCGTCATGCCTTTTGGATTGTGCAACGCGCCAGCTACCTTTGAGAGACTAATGGAGTCTGTGTTAAAGGGTCTATCCTGGACTACCTGTTTAGTGTACCTGGATGACATCATAGTGGTTGGGAAATCCTTTGACGATCATCTGAAGAATTTGGAAGAAGTTTTCAAGCGACTAGGGAGCTCTGGTTTGAAACTTGGGACATGTAGTCTCCTCCCAAGGAGTTGCGGTAGATCTACAGAAGACCAAGACAGTGGAAGAGTGGCCAATACCTAAAGATAAA